GTTGCCAGAGAAGCATTGTCTGTGGAACCATGCCAGAAAGGATTATTTCATGAGGACACTTCAGGTCTTCCCTAAAATCAGTTCCTTTAATAGGAATTTCCAGTAAGCCTTCTAAATCTATACTTCTTTCATTTATCCCAGGAAGATTAAGATTAATTAAATTTGCTCAAATACACACACAGAGTGCTGGTAAGGTTTTGTGGGTTTTTGTTTGTTTGCTTGGTTTTTGTTTGTTTTGTTTTGTCTTTGGTGATAGGGTCTTACTCTGTAGCACTGGCTGGCCTGGAACTCACTGTGTAGACTAGGCTGGCCTTGAACTTTCATTGATCTTCCTGCGTTTGCCTCCCAATCATAAGGATTATAGGCATTATCAGCATTATCAGGCTCTCTCTCTCTCTCTCTCTCTCTCTCTCTCTCTCTCTCTCTCTGTGTGTGTGTGTGTGTGTGTGTGTGTGTGTGTGTGTGTGTGTGATGTCACTTTTCACTAAGGAGTTTTTATTCTTTATGTAGCTGAATTACCTTTTAACCTTGTAACAGAATAACTTCTGTTTTTATAAATTGGAAATCATGTGCATTTGGAGGTTAAAGTTACTGCCAAGTCACAGAACAAGTTAATGGGTAAAAGTATTACTCCAGTTGCTTGCAAAGCTCATTACATAATTTTGCAGCTGGTTATTAGAAATTAGTCTTAGGTTCTTTTTTTTTTTTTATGTGTGTTTGCCATTCTACATGATAGTGAACAATTGGGTTTTGACTTTAGGGTTTCTCTGTATAACAGCCCTACTTGTCCTGGAACTAGCTCTTTTTTTTTTTTTTTTTCGAGACATGGTTTCTCTGTAGCTTTTGGTTCCTGTCCTGGAACTAGCTCTTGTAGACCAGGCTGGCCTCGAACTCACAGAGATCTGCCTGCCTCTGCCTCCTTAGTGCTGGGATTAAAGGCATGCAACAACAACACCTGGCTCTGACTTTATTTTTTTAATTGCTTCTTTTAGTGTTTGTGCATATGGGCAAACTTGTGCATGCCATGATGAATAAATATATTGAGGTCAGAGGACAAGGAGTTTTCAGTAGAATAGGATGGAATGGTTATGTTGTTTCTTAGTGAAGATGACAGTTTAACCTCATCTTACGGATATTGGAGCTTGAATAATTTTCTTATGTTCATAATTGTCAGTCGAGCTACAGTAGAATTAAGGAATCTTTCACTCAGATTCAATGTCATAAAACAAGTTTGTGTGGCATATGAAGAGATTTGTTTGACAAAGGCAGAATATAAACAGTTGAGGGAAGGATTCGAAAGTCAAACTGAAGGGTGTTTGGTTCCAGGAAAGTGTGTGTGTGTAGAGGTCAGTGGACAGCTTGAAGAGGTCAGTTCTCTTCTGTTAGAATGTGGAATTGGAAAAAATGGCCGATCTTGGAGGAATTTCACAGCATAGGTTGAAGGCATATTCATACACAAATATGACATGGAAAACTGGAATGTGGCTCAGTGGTAGAACACTTACCTAGCAACCTCCAGCACTAAGAGAGGGTAGAGAGCTTCAACTCATGAGTGTAAGAGATCAAATATGATATCAAGCTATATAATATTGAAAAGTGCCAAATTGGAAATCAGTATTCAGAGACATTAATTCCCCCAGGGAATGATAATCACCAACTTTTTTGTAATGGTATTTTAGTTGATACTTGAATCAAGTTTTTTTTTTAAATTGCATTTATTTCATTTTATTCTCTGTGTGTGGAGGCAGGGGGGGATGTTTAAAGTCTTATATACCAGGATAGGCATATATTGAGGTCATAGGATAGCTTGCAAGAATTGATTATCATCCTACACCACATAGGTTCCAGAAATTGAACTCAGGTCATCAGTCTTGGTGACAAACATCTTTCACTGGGCCCTCTTACCAAACTTTGAATTGAGATTTTAATAGATCAAAAGATTAGGGAGAAAGGCTACTATTATATTGAGCAAATACAATTAGCAAAAGTGAACCAGGTGTGATGTTACACATTTGTAACTCAAGCACTTGGGAAATGAGAGAAATGAGATTTCAGGGTCATCATTGACTACATACTGACTGTAGGGTCAGCCTGGACTATATAGAACAAAGTTGTTTCAGAGAGAAAAAGAGCCAGGTATAGTGACATATACCTATAACCCTGGCAATTCAGGTTGAGGCAGGAGTATTGTTACAAGATAGAGGCTGTTAAATAATGAGGCCCTGTCTGAGAGGAGGTAGGGGCATAGAGGAGGAGGAAGAGTGAAAGGGGGAGCAAAGAGAAAGAGAAGGTAGGGAGAGAAAAGAAAAGAAAGATGCAGATGGGGAGAAGAAAAGGAATTCGCATTGTCAAAAACACAAGACTGAACAAGTATGTTCTTATTTTGATGGATGATAAATAATGCTATGCAAATGATGCAATCCTTTGTCAAGTTACACTGGCTAAACTACTCGTGTTGTAATGATTTAAGTTTGGGTCAATTATATAAGTACCAGGGAGCTATAAGAGGTTTCTTTTTATTTTTTGAAGCAGAATCTCTCTACTATATAGCTCTGGCTGTGCTGGAACTTGCTATGTAGATAAACTGGTCTGAGATCTATAGATATCCACCTGCCTCTGCCACCCAAGTGCTGAGATCAAAGGTATGTGCCACCACGCCTGACTTAAAGGGTTTCTGAGTAGCAAAATAACCTTTTTAGCATGGCAGCTCTGACAGTAGTGTATATGCTGTGTCAGGTACAGACTGTAGCAAGGCTGTCAGAGCTTGTCAGAAGTAAATATTGTTGGGCTGGACTAGAGGAGAGACAGTTGGAGTGCAGAAATAGTCTTGAGTATATTAAAATTGAATCAAAGGGGGAAAACTCTACTGGAAACTCAGATGTGCTGAAAACAAAAAAGTAATGGGTAAAATAATGAGTAATAGGAGCTTAAGTATGGGACCAAAAGGAAAGCTGGACCACTGGTGAGGAGCTGGTTATTTGCCAGATTTCTTCACTGTAGAGTTACTCTTTTTTTTTTCTTAAGTATCTTAGGGGGATACATTTGAAATTAATGTAACAGCCCTACTATTTATAAAAGGTTCACCTGCTACTTTAGTAGCCCCTAGGTGATTCTCCCCTGTGTCAACTAGTTACTCTTGAGTTTATTGCCTGTAACTTAACTTAATGCAGCAATTGGGTACTTTTCTTGTTGGGATTCCTTCTCATAGGGTGCAGACAGTAAGTAATTGAACTCTTCTGGGTGTTAGTGGTGAGGTTCCTGAGGACCGCCAAGGTGACCTATTAGACTCATGTGACAATTTCTTCATCCGTTGTTACTCTCATGTTGGAGTGATTATTCATCTCTAATTTACTGACACTCCACATTTCTCCTTCAATATTAGGCAACAACCAGTTCCTTGCCCCTTATAGCCTAATTACTTAGCATTGCTACCTCTGTTTTATGTAACTGTTATGCTGGGTTTTTCATTCTGGTTGGCTTTGTTTTAATGGGTTGGCCAAAATAAGTGTTTAGTTAATCTATCAAAAAAGAACTAACTCTGAACAATGTTTACAGGTTTTTCTTCCTTTTTTCTCTTCTTAACTGCCGGGTGGTGATAGCACATGCATGCCTTTAATCCCAGTACCCAGGAGGCAGAGGCAGGTGGATCTCTGTGAGTTTGAGGCCAGCCTGGTCTACAGGAGCTAGTTCCAGGACAGGCTCCAAAATCACAGAGAAACTGTCTTGAAAAACAAAAACAAACAAAAAAATTCTTCTTAACGATAACACCTAGCCTTTAATCACAACACTCTGGCAGAGACAGGCAGATCTCCACGAATCTTCTGCATAGTGAGTTCTAGGCCAGCCAATGCTGCAGAGTGAGACCCTGTCTCAAAAACAGTACCTGGTTTCCTCATTTGTAGTACTCTATAGTCATTAACTCAACTATTTCTCCCTACTCCTTGGGCAGTTTCATTCCTTTCTTTTCTCCCAAAACAGAATATATTTTATGTTGATTTACAGCACAGTGGCGATTAAATAATAATTTTATACATGTATGAAATTTTCCAGATAAATTCATATTTAGATTCAGGAAATATGTCCTAAATGTAAAAATAAACTCTAGTTAGAATATGATGATTTTATATAATGTAATAAATTTGTCAGCTGTGAACTGTAATCTTTTACTGTTAATTGAGAATTCAAATAAATGTAATTGGGATTTTCTGTGTTTGTTTTGTAAATGGTTAACATTTGTTGTCCTTGTTTTGTTTGTTAGAGAGGGTCTCATTAAACAGATGAGGCTGGCCTCAAACTTGAAACTCCAGAGAATCTCCTGCCAGTCTCCCAGTGTTGTGGTTAAAGGCATAAGCTACCATACTCAACTGATTTTGAACACTTTTGAATTTGCTTTTAATTTAATTGTTTCTCCTTGGTATATAAAAATTCCACTGACATTTTAGGATCTTGTAGCTACTATTTGAAGTGATAGTGACAAATAAATGGACCCTAATCTTAAATCCTAGAGTAAATATTACTTGTGTTAATAAGAACTACACTGCTTTTGTGTAAAAAAGAAAATCAAATGTGAGGTGAGAACAAGAGATTGATCCTTCTAAGAGTTCAGACTAAGTATCAAACAGTCACAGTAGTTGAAGACTGATTACATAAAAGAAAAAATAATAATCATGGCTTAAATTGTCATCAGCTAAATGTGACCTAGGACTTCCTTATCAGCCCAGTGTCAAAGTCTGATAAACTAGACTTCTAGTCAATGTGGTTCTTCTGGGTAGTGCTTAAACAGACAGAATACCTCCACCCAGATCCCAACATGAATTTATTTATATACATGGGCATATGGTTTCCTTTACATGTGTGTATGTCTGTATGTATATAAATCTTCAAATGCATAGATACACATGGTGTTCTCGCTTACAGAATTAGAAATGTAATTCAGTTTACTCCCACAGAATAAGACCGAAGAGAATGAGAACTGAATTAAAGCTTACTTTCTTTCACAGAATTCCTCAGAGAGAGAAGACTGTAATAATGGCGAACCCCCTAGGAAGATAATACCAGAGAAGAATTCACTTAGACAGGTATGAAATTCAGTCTTACTTAAAATAAAAAGCTTCCAACAACAAAGCAAAAGACAGGAAACCCTTGACTATCGTTCTTTAAACACTGAGTTTAAATCAAGAGCCCTGTATTCTGAAGTTGGTCTGGCCATAGCCGTCAGTTTCAATCAGGTAACATACTTCAATCATTTAAAAATATCCTGGATGTAGCCGGGCTGTAGTGGCGCATGCCTTTAATCCCATCACTTGGGAGGCAGAGGCAGGAGAATCTTTTTGAGTTTGTGGCTAGTCTGATCTACAGAGTGAGTTCCAGGACAGCCAGAACTACACAGAGAACCCTGTCTCCAAAAACAAAAGAAAACAAAACAACAACAACAAAAAATGATATTCTGGATGCAAAAGTACAAGGCAGTCTGTATATATAGTAAATATTTAAATTGAAGTAAAGAGGTCTTGTTTAGGCAAGATGACCTTAAGTACTTTATAGAATGGTCATGAAATAGTTAACACTAATATTTCTCAGTAAAGATTATTTATACATTTTAGTTTTAAACTAAATAGCTCATTAAATAACCCAGGCTAGAAGGCTTGATGTTATAGGCCTCCCACCTCTGCATCCTGAGTCCTGGGATTATAAGCCTGTACCTCATGCCTGGCCAACGTTCATCATACATTTAAATAGTAGTAATAGTAATACCAATAATAATAATACAGTTCTGTAACAAAGGTAGTTTCTTTTAGTTTGGATATGTATTGTTTTGTTTCTAGAAGTGAAGTCCACTATAGATGGTTACTTTAAAACCTTTTTTGTGGGACTAGAGCTATGGCCCGGTGTTTAAAGTACTTGCTATGAAAACATGAGGACCAGAGTTCAGATCCCCATAACCCATGAGCGTGACAGGACGCCTGTAATCCAGCACTGTGAAGGCAGAGAGACAGGAGATCCCAGGAGGGAATCTCAATGAATAAAGTGCAGAGTGATTGAGGACCTCTGCATACATGCACACATGCTTGCATAATACACACACATAGGGGGAAAAAAGAGAAAACTTTAAACCCCTTTTCCTCAGGCTTCTGTGCCCTGCTTCCCAGAGGTGTAATGTATTTTACTTGTGAAAATTCAGTACGATTTTTTTAAAGATCTATTTATTTATTTATTATAGTGTTCCATCTGAACTTATGCCTGCAGGCCAGAAGAGGGCATCAGATCTTGTTACAGATGATTACAAGCCACCGCCATGTGGTTGCTGAGAGTTGAACTCAGGACCTTTGGAAGAGCAGCCCGTGCTCTTAACTGCTGAGCTATCGCTCCAGCCCATGATTTTTTTTTTAATTAAAATATCCAAAATAGTGACTGAAAACAAGTCCTCGCTACTATAACCTGTTAATACTTCGTTATTTACTAGAACCAGAATAAGTCATTAAATTATTTATTAATTATAGCTAGAAAATAAGTGACACAGTCAGTTTTAGTATCAACTTGTATAAAATGAGTACCAGCAGTAATACAAATAATTTTAATTTGTTGTGTTTATGGCCTTGTTTTAGGACACAGGAGAGCAGTGATACGGTTTTTGATGGATACCCACAATGAACATATTTATTTCACTTAATTCTGTGATAGCCCTGCTGAGTTGGTAGATATATGATTTCCAATTTACTGATGAAACTAATGGAAGCTTGAAGAGCTTAGGCTTGATCAGAACTGCTCATTGATTTGGAACTTGGACCTTACTATTTCCAAAAAATTTCTACTTCTGCCTCCAGAGTCCAGTTTTCATAGCTTTAACCTAAAAAGAAAGCACTTGAAAGCATGCCACAATCATTTTTCATCTAGTGTATGTTAACTCTTTTTTTGAATAGGCACTTTCCCATTTTTTTATAAAAATAATTGTTTTAAATAGAATTAAGTCAATATAGAAAGCTTTCAAAACAAACAAACAAATTGATTTTGAAATGATCAGTTTAATTATTTGGAGATAGATACCAGATCTGTATGCTGAATTATCAGAGCACTGTTGAGTAAGGTAAACTTGGAGATGGAGACTCTCTACCCACTATACAGAAGCAACTGTCAGAAAACAGTGATGCGACAAAAAGTTTTGGCAACTTTATTTAAGCTAACAAACGAATTTTCACTCTGCAAAGTTATAAATTAATTTTAATAGGCTGATCCAGATGGTCCATTTGGAAAATGGATAGGCTGATCTGTTGAAAATTAAACTAAATTTATCTCTCTCATACTTCAAACTGAAGCAAGAGAGAGAACCGTGCCTATTAAGTCCAGCACATACAGATGGACCAGCAGGTCACACATGGGACTAATCTGATTCATTTTAAAAATAAATGCATACATTATTGAATCATTTTCCTCTTGCAAGATCTGTTGTGTGCAGTATTTGAAAGAGATTTAATGTTTTTTCCCCGTTGCTATTTTAGCAGGTTCTCTTCACTCCCTCCACTTTAATTTACCCCCCCCCCCATTTCTTCAGAATGATTTTTCTAATATCTGCCATTCAGGGTTGAGATCCAAGCTCTGGAGATTAATTAGGTCATGAGGCTTTCCCCCCCTCCCTTCTTTGTAAAGGGTTTTATCTCCATTCTCTTTGTGAAGAGCATGAACTCAGTGTTCTTGGAAAGAGAAATGGCCTTTAGAATTAGGGAAGTAGGAGATCCTCCTGGGGCCTTGGAGCTTTTTAGCTTCTGGGTGTAAAAACAGCCCCATGAATGCAGATTTGTAAATTTATTGCAGTGCCATCTGGTTTTTTGCTTGAACCAGATTACTGTTGGCTTGTGTCTGTCTATTGTGGTGGTCACTCCCTAGGAGCTTGCCCTCTCAATCTTGGGAAAGAGTGATGAATAGCAGGGGTCAATAGAAGCGGGTCACAGGGCAGCTGTCCAGGACTGCCCTGAACTTGATTACCCCACTGCTGTTTTTTTTTTTAATCTAGTGCATAATACACAAGCTGTTTAAACTCCGCTTTTTCTCTGTTGCATTTGACAATAAGGAAATGCCATTTGCTATTTTGTTTGCCTATTGTCATGAACTATAGATAAAAAGATGTCAAGGCCAGTCAATCTAAAGTGAGTGTTTGCTTCATGGGGGCCAGTCTCTTCAGTTGAAATTAATACGATTTAAGAAATCTCTTACTCTTAAATATAAAAAATTCATTTGTACTCTAACAACCTAATATTGTGATAACTAAACCTTATAGTTTATATCATTTATTCTCAGGCAAAGGCTTGCCACTGTTGATGGGACATGGCCACTAATATTAATTTGAAAAGCTATTTTAATATTGGAGGAGCTGAAAAAAGGGTTATCACTATAATTCTTAGAAACATTAAAAGAATATTAGAATATTATAAATAACTTAATGCCAAAAATTGACTAGATAAAATGGGCAGATTCTTTGAAAATACAGCTTACAAAGTTAGCACAAGGTAAAAGAAAGTTATATCTATTAAATATAATATCTAAGTTATCAAAATGTTCATGTGGTTTCACTGGTGAATTAAAAACCATTTAAAACAGAAATAATAACAATCTTGTACTACAAACCCTCTCTTAAAACACAAAAGGAAAGACTCCTTTGGGCCTGTGTTTTAAGACTACCATAATAACACTTTGAAAACTTGACAGAGAAATTACCAGAAATAGTGAAGGAGAAAGTTGTGAAACAACTTCTTTTGTCATCATTTGGCATTAAGTATGAAGTTTTAAAAAGTGCAACATAGATACAATTTTCCTTCTGCTTTTACTCCTAAACTGTGAAGCTATAGAAACCATAACCACTGTTTTATATTTCGTGTGTGATGGGGGCGGCCAGAGAAGATAGTGAAAATGTTCTTTACTTTTTGAAAATGTAGCATTACCACATGCATCTCTTGTTTGTTCACATTGGGGCTAATAGGATCTGTCACTTCTCCTTTTCTCAGTAATTGAGTAAATTGACTGCTGCCTAATTCTTCTCCCGTCCTCCACCCCTTTTGTGTGTGTGTCCACGTTACTGAGAACGTGGGCAGTGATAAATAAAGCATTGAGTGGAGCGCTCTCGGCTCTTTGAAAGCAGCATGATGCCAGCCCTCTAGTTATATTTCTTTAAGTGTTTACATTTTCCTGTATTCTTTCTCTTGTGTAGCTGGAACCCTGGGGATGCAAAGCCATGAGAGAGGCCAAGAAGCTAACAAAGTAGCTGTCTCCCTTGTTAGCTTGTTCCTTTATTCTTTAAAAACAAGATAAAAACCATCTGGCTCAGGGCATTCCATTTTCCTCCCCTGTGCACCTCTATAGATGGCAACTTCACCTGCAGTGAGGGTTTACATTGATTAGGGAGGGAGCAGTAATTCAAGCTTCCATCCTCTTCAAGGATACTTTGCAGTCTGTAAAGGTGCTGACCCACTGAGTTAAACTGTCAAGGGACGATAAAAAAGTATCTTCATCCCGGGAGGTAACAGCTGCCAGGTTTTCAACACCTTGCAGACTGCTGGAAAAAAAGAATGTCAGCCAAAAGAAAAATGAATCTGTTATCATCTTCTATTCATGACTGGGCCATACAAAAGGAACTATGTGGATCTTTTGGAAGGATAAGTAACTGTTACCCTTGCCTGAGATTTTTCTTCTCCCTACATTGTTATAAACATCACCATGGAGGAACTTAAAGTTAAAAGAGCCAATCGAAACAAGGGTGGGCTTGGCTCCTTTCTACAGTTGGGCAAGTAGGAAGAAGATACACCTCACAAACATAGAAAATGACATCAGAGTGTGTATTAGCAAAACAGCAACAAAAAGTCATTCATAAACCAATAAGCTGAGAGAAGACATACGGTGTTATGTTCTTTGGAGGACAGTTTGTTTTCAGGCAGCATCTAGATGGGGAAATACCACAACATTGCTTTTTAAAGAGTCACTTCTCCCTAAAAGAAAGGAATGAAGCCTCACAGAATTCACTGCCTTTACCACAGCCAGTGTTTGAGTATGATGGCATTCTCTTCTTTCTGATTTGATTAATGAGGGGAAA